GTACTTCTGGTACATGTTGATACTATAGGATGATAAAACCTTTGCCATCTGGCAGTGTGTGTAATTAGAGCAGTGGCTCTGTGCAAAGACATATGGGCAAGAGTACACAAGGTAACCAAACCACATACACATGCATTCCTTTTAGGTTTTGCTAAGGCAGTAAAGTGGACTCTAGCAGTAACCTTCTCCTTCACCTTTAACATCATCTCAGATTTAGGGGAAAAAAAAAAATCTGAGCTAAATGACTTTTCCCTGACCATAGTTCATGTCTGTTTACTAAAATTTCCTGCCGTGTAGATTAAATTCCAAGTTTTCCTCGATGCCGTGTTGCACGAACATATTAAGAGGGGACTGACACTGGACCTACCTCCCACTGCACATAACTCAAAATCTCAGTTTGAGACCAAACTTCAAATAAGCAAGCTACACGTTTTATTATGTATATATTCAAAGAGACTGCTAAGACTGCGAAAGAGCACTTTGGAAAACCGCGATACTACCTCCACTGCTCAGGCAGGTTTTCTCCAAGAAGAAAACTGAAAATGTCCTCTGCAGGCAAACCACAAGCTCCAGCTTTTTTCTCAGCCTTAGTACTACGAGCAAGAGAAGTAAATGCTGAGGTCTCCAGTCCTCCAGTTTCTTTAAACACACCCAGTAACCCTCTCTGCCATATCGACAAACCTCATGCAGGGGAAGTCCTACCAGGATCGGCTGCGTTCACGTTCATTGCCCGCTGAAAGCAGCAGTGAAATTTTAAAGTGCAATTTCCCATTCTTTCTTTACGGACGTTTGTTTGTTCAGTCTGCAGGGTGACCTCGTAGTGGGCAAACTAAATTCACATCCGAGGAAATCAGCAGCCGTACTCCAGGTTCACGGTGAGTGTACTCCCTTGGTGGGAACACAGGGATTCAAACCAGTGGTCTGTCTTTGAAACAGCTTTGGATCACAGGTAGTGGGAAAGTTTTACTAACAGAATTGGACTGATTTTGAAGTAAAGACTCCAAAATGCAGGTAATCCTAAATATAATGGTTTCACTATTAAATTCTGTGATTTCCTGATCTGCTTTTGCTGCTTCATACTGCTCACTAAAGTAAGCGCAGACATCATTTGCAACTGAAGAAAACAGCAGATAAAATACTTAGTATTTTTACACTCTGAATAGTTGTGATAAAGGCTCCTTTTGTAATGACTCAGCTCAGTATGCAGCATATCAAAAAGTGTTTAATATTTTGCACGACTGTAAAAGACTGCATGGTTCCAAATATTTCTTTCTCTACAGATAAAAAGGCCCAACCGAATGCAGAATTTAAAGTTTGAAAACATAAGGTCGCTTCTCATCCCAAGACTGGTCATGCTCAACATGGCACTGTTACCACCATATTTACTGAATAAAAAACTAAATTGTCAGACCATACAACACAAGCATACAGAGGATTTTCACGAGATTAACAGCATCCCCCGAAATGACAAACATCTTCAAGTACAGAATGACATTTACCTGACAGCAGTACCTGAAGGCACTGGCTATGCTCAGTATTTTAAATCATATGAAAAATTAAACTGACTCCCTACCTGTAACAAACATGAGCTTGAATAACCACTGGCCCAGGCCCCCAGATCTACCAGGCATTCAAGTATGAGAGCCTTCATGTTCGTTGTAAGTGCTCACAGCTCCCTCCTTTGCTCCCTCCTCTGCTCTAGTCCCACCATTCCTGAGCCAAGGAAAGTTTTCTTCCTCCTCCTCTCCTTGTGCTGGCCTCCAGCATCAGTGGAACAGCAGAGCTGCTGGCTGGCACTTCCTAGTGGATACTAAGAAACTAATTCCTGGACACAGGCAGGTAAAACACTCTTGAGATGAGTGGTATTTTCTGTTCCTTTTATTTTTATTTCCATGGGACCTGAGAGTGCTGGCACTACATTAATGAGTCAAAAGACTCATGAGGCCAAAACCCAGCCCCAGTGAGCGTTCAGTGCAAAGGAAACACTGCTGACAGTTTAAACAGATCTCTGGTCATAATCCCACCCACCGCACATTTCCGAGCAGACAGTATCTCAGAATATGTTTACAAAATTATTTTTAAAGAAAAAATAGGAACCTGTAATTGCTTTTTGGCACTTGCGAATAAATTTTAGCCAGCAAGCAGTTTATCAAAAAGTGGACTAAGTATCTTTTAATGAAGGAGAAAGCTATTCCACCTACATACAGAAAACACATGTAGCATGAAAATGTTATATTTTTTTTAGTCAGTGGATACAATCCATTTTCCTGAAAACCAGCAAGACTAATTAATATGTAACTGAAGTACCTCATGTCTTAAAAAAATCTACCTGAGTAACACAAACAACATAAACTGGGCATATTTTAAGGGACTGAGGTGTGGAACAAGGGGATAAAACAGGACTTAAGATCCCTCTCTCCTGTGTATGACTCCACACACTGCTAGAACAGTCTGTGCAACTTACACTTCAACTGTATATAGAGTGATAAATTTTTTAATTTTTAGTCCTCTGTTCAATCAAATTATCCATGAGTGCAATGTTTTCCTCATTCACTGAGAACATTAGCATCGTTGCAACGTTGTCCAGGGAATTCTTTGCTTCTGCTGCATCTGTACCATCAACAACTCACCACACTAATCCACGCACCCCTGTTCTTTTTATTTCCAATCTCCTCACCTTCTGAAAGCTGAAAGGTGCAGACACTCCAGCAAAGAGTAAAATAAACCTTGTGTCCAAGGACACAATCAAGCTGGTGACCTGACGTTTTGAATGATCAGTGATTAAAATACACAAAAATTAGAAGGAAAACAAATTTTTGTAAAAAAAAACGTTTAAACCCCTCAAATTTAGGTAGCTAACCAGTTCTAATGATAGAAGAGTCCACGCATTGCTACAGATCAGTATTGAAAAAAATATACATAGCATCATCTCTGGACACTCATATTTTTAAAACATTTAACTTAAAACCGAGTGTTACTGGAGAAAACAAATGCATGTAAATAAACTTTTTTACTAGTTTTGGAGGTTACAAGAATAAAGACAGACATAAAACTGGCCAAACCTTCTATCTGCAGGTAAGCTCCAATAAATATGGGAAACATGTAAATGAATCAAAATAATTGCTTCTAGACTGACTCTCCAGGGAATCTCTGTCCAGATCTTAAAATTAATTTATACTTTTACATGACTAATGTTGCTCTATCCTACATATGTTAATTTCTAAAGTGAAGAAAACACTTGCCTAGCAGTTGCATATGTACAGTTGTATGCAAATTGTACTGATGAAAATTTCTGATTTTTAAAAACGATACATGATTGGATTAACTTTGTCCTTTTCTTTGTATATAAAAAGTGACACAAGATTAGTACATTTTCCGATGTAAAAATTTTTTCTCAGAAAGCCAAACAACATCCTAATTAGCAAGATGATCTCTAACAAAATAAATTATTAAAATGCAGCACCTTTTAAAACAATTAATGAAAGCGGTTTGCAGTAAATAACCCAACTTCATATCTTTCTCAGGAGATAACAGATCTACATCTGGATTTTATCCTCATCAAGTGACACAAAGGTTAATCACTTTCTCAATTAATTTTGTTGTTTTTTTTTTTTTTTTGTAACAAATTACAGTTTTACCCTTTCCTCAACAACAGTTTTACCCTTTCCTGAAAGTTAAAAGCACATTCCCCATAAAAAGTTTATTTTCTTTAGTGAAAATATATACAGAAGACTGCTAACACTGCCCAGTGATCCTTCAAAGACAAGTCTGGTGAGCTTGGAAGAAGAGATAAGATAAAAATGCAGAAGGTAAAAATTTTTTTACCAATTTAGTTTGTCAAATCATCAAAACTACGCCATCAAATTTCAAGTTCAGAAATTGTACACTTTGTTGCTTCTAATCTCATTGAACTACTTTGTTATATTTTTTTTTTAAACTAAGTTCTATACTTACATTTCTATTTCTTATCATTACCTCTACAGACTCCAAAAATAACACGTGAAACACAGAAAAAGGAATAAATAATCCTTAAAAAAAAAAATCATACAAACTGGAAATTGTATGGAACACTGAAGGTGACAAGCAACAACAAATGTTGTCATTATACCATAAGGCTGGTGCAAACATACAGCATGTTCTCTGCAGCAACATTCAAAATACTGTCCTTGACACCTTAAGGAAACACAAGCGCAACTATAAACGCTGTAATATCTCTGGGAAAGCAGTATCAACACCAGCTATTTATCTGGGTATTGCTGATGCACATGGTGACAAAATTTACCCTAAACTACATCCTTCCCTGCTTTTTTCTCCACTGTAAAACTGGGTTCATTCTGTGAACAGTTCCTAGGAATTCCAGTAAATTCATTTGGTGACAGAATCCAACAAAACCAACCCAACTCTGAGAAGAAACTCTCACTTCCTCCTCTGTATGAACAGGATACTCTTTCAAATTCACTCTGTTGTACATTTTGTTGCTTCTAATCTCATTGAACTACTTCTTTACAATTTTTTTAAACACAATTATATACTTAGATTTCTATTTCTTAAGTCTACAGACTAAAAATAACATGTGAAACAGGATAATGAATACATCATTGAGTGAGACCAGCATGCAGTGTTTCTGGAAATATTTGCCTGAGTTGTAGCAGGAAGACAAATTCAGTCCCAGAGTCCATCACCTCCTAATGACATTTCCTTTAGTTATTGGAAACGCTAGTCATACGCACAAGCAAACATCACTACAAATAAGGTCCTAGAGGTCAGAGATCTCCGTAATATTATAATTACAAAATCATTTGAGTATCTTATTATCTCACTAACTTGTTGTGCCAGGCAAATGGCTTAACACTCTCAGTCTAATTCTATAAATTTATGTGAAGTCTGTAATTTTTTCAAGCTACCACTTAAAATGAAACGCACTGCACACAAGGTTCCATGCTGACTCACTCAACAAACGTCTATGCCAAGCACATAAATGATTCTCTTTTCTTCCTTACCTCCAGATGCTCTAAAATATAGGGAGGGTTTGTCATGCCAAGCCTCAGCATAGCTCCCTCAGGAATAACTTCAACCAGCTTCCACAGAAGCGTGGGGAGGTCTGTGCCAATGTCTCTGCCATAAGCCCCTGTGTCTTCACTGGTCAGCCATATCTCACAAACACCCTCTGCGAATAAAAGAAAGAGATAATTAACAAATCTGTTTTAGAGCTGTTTATTTTATCATACAGCTGCTCACTCTTTTAAATGCAGTATTTCACAAGGCTATTATGCAGACAGACTGGATATTCAATTGCGAGGGGGAGGGAAGGAGAGGGAAGGCTTATCCCATGGGTAGCAGTGGGTTATTAAGTTCATTTTATGAGCACAAGAGTGCTACAACAACGCTGTAAATTATCATTGCTGTGGAGTGATTAACATTCACAGCCAATGACTAATTCTGTGCTGCCTCTACAGCAAGTCAGTCAAGTTTAGTACTCTGTTCTATTTTTTGAGCTTAATTCATTAAACACCACAAGCGACATTACCCAAGAAGAGTTTGCATTAATGGTTATTACTAGCAGTTAGATTATTAACTGGTAAGCTTCCAATAAGCAAAAGCAGCTCTAAAGCAATGTGATTTAACGTTCCTCCTGGAATAAATATTAAAAACTTGTATTCTTTAAATTACACAATTAGAAATGCAATATCAAGGTTGTATTGAAAAGGTTAGTGACCACTGAGTGATAGTACAGGAAAACCTGCTTCCTGGCAGTTAATGCTTTTTTTTTTTCTCCATCAGTCAGAGCCTCAGGAAGCAGTATATTTGATTTATATTGTAAATAGCAACCTTGAACACTGATATTTGGTAATAATATCCTCCCACTCAAAGAGGGGAAAGATTGTACCACCCTTTAATAATAGTTGAAAGCAATAAGGTTTCACGCAGCCAATTCTGCTGGTCTGCCCTGCATTCATCCTTTTGGCAATGCAACCCCTGACCCCATTCCTTACCATCCCACAGCAGGAAATAAACCACCAAAAACCAGGATGTCTGGGAGGAATACACCTGTGATTCCTAGCCAGATAAGGTAACTCAGTGAAGAGTTCAATTCCTAAACCCACTGATAAACCGGTAAAGGAAACATCTAAACACTAGAAGGTGCCTAATTCATCAAAGAACTCTTTAGACCAGCAGAGAATGTATTATAAAATGTAAAAGTTTATGCTACATATAAATACTTAAGATGAGGAAAACATAAACGTGTACACAGACTTTAATTGCATAAAACACAATAAACCTAGAAAACCAGATGTTTCACAAAATGCAAGCTCAAGACTGCTGCTCTCAAACTCACACTGTAACTAATAAAGGCAGAGAGCAAGCTATGCTGATCATCAAAGTTAATTCTGTTTGTACAGAAAGGTTTTCAAGGTCACTTATTATTTAGAACTAAAAAACTCATCGCTTCTTAAGCTGTGCTTCACAAATGAGTCAGTAAGAGAGACGTGTAATTCTGATGCTGTAAGAAGTCTGGTATAAAGCATTAATGAAGTACTAACTTCTCTTTGGTTGTCCAGTTGCAACTTCGTAGCCCCGCTCAAACTGCGCTCCCCATGCAGAATCTACTTGCAGTACACGCACAGTGGATTCTACTGCACATTCTGTAGGGTTTGCTGCCTGCCCTACATTTTCCTCAAATATGGAAAAATGGGGGTGGGGAGAGGAAGGTGACTTGTATATGCTACATGTTAAAAAGAAGTCTAAAGGATCCAAGTGATTGCAAAGGTCCTGTTTTATTTGGTTTGGTTTTGAGTCTCCAGTCTGCACTGCAAAACTGTTATTTATTTGCTGAGTTTCTACTGTAACCCAGTAATTTTCATTTGCAAGCTTTCAACCATAGGAGTTGCATGTTTTTGGGGTTTGTTTCCCCCCCCCCCCCTCCATGAAAATGGCTAATGGAATACTGCCTCACAGTTACCAGATGAACACTGAGGAAAAAAGAATAAATCATTGGCCCAGGAATGGAAATAACATTCCTGTGGAAAACAACAGCGAGCTTTTAAAGCTGCATAGGTGGGGACCATTAGCCCCCTGGTGGGCTGAAACTTCAAATTAAATCACAAGAAGAGGAAGCAGCTGTAATAGTAAATCAGCAACAACAGGAATAACTGTCTCATCTGCTCTTCGATCAGGGTGTTGAACAACAAGCAATGGGAATAATTCATGCTGAGAGAGCCGAGGACGTAGTCCTAATATGGGGAGGGGGGAGGCAGGGAAGGGAAAGGACACCTGTATTTTAGGAGAATGTTCATGTCCCAGTTTCAGGCTGACAAATACTGAAAGGAGCTGTGAGTGATAAGTTTTTACAAGCACGGTAAAAACCAACTCAGTGAATAACGGTGTGTGACAGAGGTTTTGTGTCAACTGTTTTTAGGCTGTTTTTCTAGTCCTTCGTATCCTCAGTTTAGGAGTCTAAACTTACAGCAGGTAAGAGGAGAAAATAACATACACTTCTCAAACAGTATTAATGAAGTCAGCCAATAATTCCAATAATTTCTACTTTTACTTCACCCTGTTGCCCTCCAAACTTCAGCCCTAGGCAGAATTCTTTCCTTTCTTTTGCAGCGAACCTCACTTGATCATTCCCCATTCTGTTACTGGATAATTTTGGTGCTAACAAAGGCAAGCTGATTTCGTAAACAAGAAAATTGATCCAAACGGCAGAGTTCAGATGTGCAAGCTCAGAGCATTTGTTACAGTATTAAGGCCAATTATCATTACAGCCAAGTAATTGCAAGTCTGCCTTTGGTCACAGCTCGTAGTTTATTTCTCACCTTGCCATCACTACCCAGCACAAAGGAGAAACCTCAATAGTTGGCTTCTGATCTCTGCTCAGCTGTAATCAGAGGGGACCGAGAATGAAAAATGCTGGAAAAATAATAGGTTCCAAGCAAATGAAAGAAGTTCTGAGCCTATTTCTTCTCTAATGTCTCAATTTAAAGAATATTCATTGCAGATTTTCTGGCATGGGTTTTAACTTCATTTTTTGGGGGGCAAACGATCCTTGTCATAGAGAAGATAAATCCTACAGTTATCACTTTCATGAGATATGTGCATATCTGTTTCAGAGACCACTTGAAATAATTTGTTTCTTTAATAAAAAACTTCTAGCCTTTTTATTCTGGTTTATCTTCACATCACTGTTGTAAACACTCTTTTCAGTGGTACCAGACATCCCTTAAACTGAAGTGAAATCTACTTTATCTGAAAAATTAATTTACTTCGATCTACAAAAACACCTGAAGATGTTAAAATATTGGACACTTATCCCAGCGAAATTCTCCTATTTGTAAGCCTGCTGTACCTTTGTACAAATTACATTCAATACCCAAATCCCCTTCTTTTTTTCTTCTCCTTCCCTTCATTCTCTTCTTTCCTGACAGAGTTTCTAATGCGAAGAGGAGTGGCTTTTCCAACAGCACAATGCTCTGCAGGCTGCCTCAGTGGGAGGCCCCCAAATCTGACCTTCTCAGTAGCCCACATATGCTTATCAATAACTGCCTGAGCTCCTTGCAATTCCTTCTCCAGCAGTGAGTTCTTGTGGCAGCCTGCAGCGCTGTACAGACCCCAGAAACACCTCTCCCACTGCACCACAGAAATCTTACAGACCATCTGCCAAGGGGAGGCCTGACTTCAACGTTTGTCAAAAAGTGCTTGCAGACTTGAGGACGCTCAATCTGACCATTAGAATCTGACACCCTTAGAATTATTAAAAAAAATAAAAAAAAAATAAAAAATCATAGCCAAAGGCAGAAAGAAAGGCTTGGGGAAAAAAAAAATTCTTTTGAAACATGCTCATTGTTCAGAATGAGCTTAGCTTACATTATTTTATTTTGCCTTCAATTATCTGAGTTTGCTCTTCTTTATTCACCATGGATTTTACAGGTACTATTTACATACTTGATGCAGTGCATATACTAGATTACTTCGCTGAATGAGTGCCTTAACTGGGAAACTGTGAAGGCATCTGTGCACAAAGCATATCACTGTATCAACCTGAATATAATGCAAGTTTAAACAGAAACTGAGATCAGGAGGAATCAAGTTCCTCCTAAAATTCTGAAGTACTTTGCAAGCATTGATTCACCATGTAAGAGCTCTCTTCTTAAGACTGACTTCAGCCACACAGATCAGCACTGAAGCATCTCATTGCAGAAACCTACTGAAAGAGAAAATCAGGGGAGCAACTCACTGATGCTAATGGAGGTTTAGAAGGATTTATTTCCAGCTCACTAAGAAACCCCTATTTGATCTGTATATATACAGGTCTTCTAGAGGAGAGAGAGAATGGAGTTAGACACAATCCTGAACAAACTCACCCCAGCTACTCAGGAAGTAACTCACACCTGTCACAATTACAAACTGCAGGGTATCTGTCAAGCAGATGACGAAAGCAGCAGACAAAAACAAAAAAAGACAGATCTAGGTACAGAGCTGGTGAAAGAGGCAAGGTGTCAAGCCTGAATTTCTAGAGGATCTTTATTATGCCCAAAAATATTTCCTCTTTTCAAAAGATCTATCTTTTCATCCTTTTGGGCAGTCTTAAGGACATGACAGATGATTATGCATTTCCCTAATGCTTGCCACAAACAAGAGAACAAGATCTGTATGACATCCCAGATGTGGGCTGACCTACTGGAATGCAGTGACTGGGAAACTACTAGATCCCAAAACTCCCATTAAAGGAAAAAGTTTAGCAAAAGGAGGGCTGGCCTAAGCAACCCTTCACATCACAGGAGGAAGCAATGGCTGGTTGAGTGGCCAGGAAAGGCTGTTCAGAATTAGTGCACTTCAAAATGAGGACCAAAAAAATATTTCTCTGAATTTTTGCTATTAGACTCATAATCAAGAATTTTAAAGTATCCCCTTAATAGCATAAATTGATCTGAAGCATTGATTAGTATTACATAAGAACATGCTACACACAGGGGCTCAATCTGAAACCCTGAACAAATTCCACTTTACGTGGTCATCAGGAAAGCCAAAAGGTAAAGACAATTTTGTACACATAATGAGAATTTCTTTTCACTGGATCACAGAACAGCTTAGGTTGCAAATGACCTCTGGGGGTCATCTAATCCAATCTCCTGTTCAAATCAGGTCCAATTATACGAGATTGCTCAGGCCCTTCT